TTTTTTTTCTTTTTTGGTACCGGGGATCGAACTCGGGTCCTAGCACTTGCGCAGCAGGTGACAAAACCACTGAGCTAAATGCCCGGCCCTGGTTTGGTTTATTTTGGTACGGGGGATCAAACTCCAAACAGCCACAGAACTACTCAGCTAAATCCCCGGCTATATTCTGTTATTTAAAATGTTACTTTGTATACTGGGTTTTTTTAGTAGTTTGTCTTCAGATATCATACCTGAATTTTCGGCAGCTCTTTTGTTAAAGGTGGAGTGTTTGGGGCTGGAGATGTACCTGAGTGAGAGAGAACTTGCCTAGCATGCAGGTCCTAGGTTCCATCCCCACCTTGGGAAGAAAAGTATCAATCTGAGAGACATCTTAGTTCTTTGGGCCTTACTGACTCCTTTGAGAAATCTGATGGGTTTATATTGAGTTTCTTTAGGATTCATAATTACCGAATGTCTTAAAGTAGAATTGAATGCATCTGTGTCAAAACTTTTTGCTTTCTTTATAGGATTTTACAGTATCTGATTTCATCTGTGAAGTTCCCGCGCCTGGAAGAGCTGTCACTCATCATGTAATACTCAGTTTGTACAATAAATTATGAACCTGGAAAAGCTGGTTGTCTTTATTTACAAGGTATCAAAAATATAAAAACTGTACAAAATCCAACAAAGGCAAAAATTGGCAGTGACTTGGTCTAAATCTTTTTTCTTTTTCCAAAGCAAGGCTCAGTACTGGAGGTAAGCAACTGAAATGTCTGTCTGACTTCAAGTGTACTAGGTTTTATGTAGCCATTTTAGCTGAAGTAGAACATGGAAGCTAAGTTTGTGTTTGAGTCCACTCAAACAGGCATAAATCAAGATGTCAGTGGATGGTTGTAATTCATCTAAATCTTAGGAAGAAACTGTAGTTTACCCTGCCTAGTTACATACATTCCACCAATCACAGGCCAACAAAAAATGTTAGTGGATCACTTAACATAGTACGTGAGTGCCATACAGTAACTTCACAGCAGAAACATACGTGCTCATAGACTTCTTCAGCTAAAATTCAAGATGGTAATATATTTCTTAATTTGAATCTTGAAGCAGGATGAAGTTTTAAATCAATTTTTTTCTAAACATAATAAATTAAAATAGCACTTGAACAGAAAATGCATAGTTTCCACACAGTCCAAAGCACCATAAATGTCCCCTCCACGAACATAATACCTCTTATTCAACTAACGGAAATTAGTTAAATCTGGTTGCTATAGAAACGTGGAGCTGTACTGTTCAGATTTTCCAAGCACAATACTTCCAGATTCATATAGACAAAAACATTCTTTGTAGCTTAAATATTAATCACTGAGGTATTTGCTTTTTAGACTCCCTTTTTTCAAACAGTAGCTTCCAAAGTCTTTTAATACCGATGGTTTATTGCGGACTATAAGCTCCTGCAGCTAGAACCAGGTTTCTTCGAGTAAAATGGAGGTGTACAACTGGTGTTGATTTGGTCATATATGTACCCAACAGCAACTCCTGTGAATTCTCAGGTAAATTTATATGCCCAGTGGCTGTAGTAAAGTCATCAGTCTCTAAATCTTCAAATGCTTTGATGGCATCCCATAACCGGACTGTGTTATCCATTGACCCTAAGGGGAAATCAAAGGGAGCCATTAGTCACATCCACCATATTTAGATTCTGACCTTTTAGTTTGTTTGGTTTTTTTTGTACCAAGGATCAAACTCGGGTCCTTGCGCTTGCGCAGCAGGTGGTGAAACTGCTGAGCTAAATCCCTGGCCTATTCTGACATTTTTACCATGTGTACTTTATGAATTTACTGTAAATTTCTGATGAAAAACCTAAATCTTTATCACAAAGCCATTAATAATCACTTACCTGATGCCAAAATTTCACCATCTCTACTAAACCTAAGTGAACAGACTGTGTCAGTGTGGCCTTTTAATTCTCCAACCATCAAACCGTGTCCAATATCCCAAAGAAGCACTCTGCCATCTGTTGCTCCTGTAGCCAGGAATCTCCCATTGGGAGAAAATGTCAAGGAATGAATTGGTCCCTAGAAAAGTCCATGAAAAACATTAAGAATAGTGTTAACATATCTAAAAAAGAGACAAAGTTAGAATTTTAGTTTGGTGGTATGATATCTAAAATACATGTGTCACTGGGTAGTCAAATACTTTTATCTCAAAAGCACCTTTATGTGCTGCAATGAGATGTGAAATACCTTGTGTCCAGTGAAGATCCTTACACAGTTACCATTCAGAACATCCCAGAGCCGCACGGTTCTGTCTGCAGATCCCGTAGCAACGTAATTTGAGTTTGGATGGAACCTCGTACAATTCACATCAGCAAGATGGCCAGCAAATATCCTTAACGGCTGATAGTGATCTGTAGCCCAGAGCCTTTTTTTTAACATCATGGAAATCAAAAGATGGTAATTAGTAGTTAACCACAAAACACCAAACTTTATCCAAAATCACTAGAAATACCAGGTGAAATTTTCCAAGTGGGTCCCCCTTGAAAGCCAAGCATGATTGAGACTAACATTTTGAAGAGCTGGTCTGGCACACAATTAGGGAGTGAGGGTTGTTTGGTTTTGAGACAGCGTCTCACGGTGTAGCCCAGGCTGGCCTGGAATTCAGTGGTCCTGCTGCCTCAGATGGAATTGCAGCATCACACATGGCGTGGTATGTAAGTTTTCTAATAATACAGATCTTTAATTCATTGTGTTCTTTTTTCTTCCTCATCTAAACCATAGAAAAATGTTCTCCCTGAGTTTTGACCACCACATAATTAGTTTCTAACCTGAGCTACCTTATCCAGAACTTTTAAGATGACAGGGAAACAAAACAGTGCTGTTGAAAAATAAAGAATAAACATCAGATTGGAGTGGTGCATGTTATAAGCTAACTTAAAAGCAGGATCCTTAGTGTAGACATAATTACAGATACAGTAACAATCCTGTCCCAAATTCATCAGTAAGACCTATAAATGCTGGTGTTCTTGAAGAACTGAACCTGAATAACAGAAGTGAAAATGAGTTGGAGCCTGTAATTCCCAACAAGAAACCATTCTGTTCATTGAATAGATCCAGTCATAAGAGCATGGTGTTCTTACCGAGCTACTCGGTCATGGCCCCCTGACACAAAATAATATCCATACGGAGAAAACTGTGTATCCCACACCGGGTAGTTGTGTCCTTTATATCCCACCAAGCAAGTAAATGTTTGAAGGCTCCATAATCTAATGGTTCCATCCTCGGAAGAGGAAAGTAGATAGTTCCTGAGAGGAAAAAGTGATACATTCAAAGAACTTGGTTATCTGCCCAGTTTCTTCTCACATGCGAACATAATAAATTAGCTAATTAGATGTTACATGTCACTTTTACACATGGAATTTACAGTAGCTCTCAAGAGCCAAAAGTTCTACCCAACTAATGTTAAAACCAAACAGTCCCAGCACTACATATACTGAACACCTACTAATGAGGTTAGGTTATAAAAACTTAAGTCTGTTAGGGGAGAAAATCAATTCTTTAAGGGGGAAAAATATTGAGCAAATGAAAACTATGTTCAAATAAGGTAAATTGAGAAAATTAAGAAATTTGATGTTACTTAAAACAACTTTTGGCTCTAAAATGGAGATGCTGTTTTTCTATCCTGTACGAGTTGTATTTAAAAAAAAAAAAAAAAAAAAAAAAAAAAACGGGCAGGGAATGTAGGTCAGTAGTACAGATGTGCTTAGCATGTACTTGAGGCCCTGTGTACCATTCCCAGCACTCTCCCCTCCAAATAAAGAATAAAAAGAAAATGCCCTTTTGCGGGGTAGGAGGGGGTGGGGGATGGGGTGGAGGGGACCCAAAGCTACAGATAGGCTAATACCATTTTAAGAGATAAACACAAAAGCTGACAGTTTTCACTGAAACCAGAGGTTTCCCTCAAGTGGAAAGCTGGCTTAGTTTTATCAGACAATAAACATTCTCAAAATGTTTCAGAAGAGACCTGGGCGTGGTGGCAACACCTGTAATCCCAAGCACTCGGGAGGCTGAAGCAGGAGGATTGCCGCAAGTTCAAGGCCAGCCTGAACTATGTAGTGAGTCCCTGTCTCAAAAAAAATTAAAAATTTAAAAGTTTCATGAAGATTAAAAACTGTAATGGGTTGGAAGCTATTATCTATCCAAATAAGACACAGATGGAATTGGGAATACAAAATACTCAACTCCTACTTCTTTTTGTTTTTTTCTTGTAGCAAAACATTTATTGTCAATCCCCATTTCTATAGAATGTTGGAGGTCACAAAAAGCAGGCAAATACCTAAACATACACAGTAATACTCTGGAATCCTATGGCTAAAAGAAAGCAAACCCTAAAATACAGCAATTTCAAAATTCCTATTTAGTGTATTTTTAAGGTTTATTGTTTGTTTCTTTTTAAAATAGCATCTTGCCATGTTGCCCAAGCTAGCTTCAGATTCATGATCCTCCTGCCTCAGCCTCCTGAGCAGCTGGGATTATAAGCACATGCCACTGCACCCAACTTTCTTAGGCTTTTTGGGGGGGGGATTATAGAAAGATAAAGCTTCAATTGATAGGCATTATGCAATTAATATCAGGAATTTGTCTTAAACATGATGAAGTGCCACAAGATACAATGTAGGGACTCCAAGAATTCAAACTCTATCAGGGTCATACAAAAATAGAGCTAATTTTTGAAAACCAGTGAGCCCTGAACTATGCACTTTGAGTCTATAAATTCAGATATATATTATCTTACATACTAGTGCTCTAAGATGAAACAACAAATGGCAGAATCCTAAAAGATGAACAGGCAACGGTGAGATTTTTCCAATGGAATTTTCCAGGCATTTGCATTGTTTATGTGTCCCACAGCTAACTTTTACATCATCTCAACACAGTAGTCAGTACTTAATTTTCATTGTTTCTATTTTACCTATCGGGACTGAAGCTGGCTCCATAGACAGGCCCACTGTGACCATACAAAATCTTCAACTCACTTGCGGTTTTCTCATCCATGATTCTTTCTAAGACATCATCTGATTCTTTGTCTATGAGGCTAAGATCTAAAATGGTCCAGAAATAATTTTTTTAAAGTGCATTCATCAAAACATTGTAATTACATCATGGTTCAGGAGAACAACTAACATTAGAACAGTGCTTCCTATACCCTAACGGCAGTGCTAATGCCTCTACATCAGGTGACATTATCCCGGTTCGCAGGAGAGGAAATGAAGGCTCGGAACATTCGTAATGCGCTGCAGTGCAGCCAGTTACTCACTACTGGAATTGGCGTTTAAATCTGACAACCATACTATGTTTCACAAAAATGAAAACTGAGGGCCAGGGATTTAGCTCAGTGGTTCCACCGCCTGCCTCGAAAGCTAAGGACCTGAGTTCAATCCCCGGTACCAAAAAAAAAAAAAAAACCCAACAACAACAACAACAACAAAAAAATGAAAACTGAAAATACTATAATTAAAATTCTAAACTATTTTGTTTAGATAATATGGCAAAAAAATTTCAAATGATATCTTGACCTTATTCCTTTTTTAGCCATTCTTATGACTAAAAGAGAAAGTATTCAACTACTTAAGG